TGCTTATATTATGGGCACATTTGACATTTACTTTACAATTATGGGTGTATGCAAATGCCAGCAGACGATCGTTGATTAGTAGTACATCGGATACTAATTTTGACATACACCACGAATATAGAACACATTTTGTACAACAAGATGGAACTTATAATACTAAATATGGTAACATAGCACACATTTTGTACATATATCACTAGTTTTGCGAATATTGAAATACATAACATATGGTTGCAATTAATAATGATAATATTGACACTGGGCTCCTCTCTTATCATTTCTGTATGTGGTCAAACAACAATGTATTAGTCAAGCAGGGACATATTTTTTATAAATTTAATAGTAATAACTGTACGCACCTAAGATCAATGAACAAATGAGATTTGAGTCCAACTGCTTGTGATCTTGGGTAAGAGTCTGAGTAACACATGTGTGTTTGTTGTTCCATATGCCTATAACCCATTCACTGCCACCTTTTTTTGGTATGCTCTCATCCTCCATAGACAACCAGCGTTATGATTTTGACAAACCATTATCAACCTTTTTGTATCACTTTTCTCTACGACTGTTGTGCGATGATTTGCCATACAATATTCTTTAATTGCCATGTGTACATCTTGCTTGGTGTCAAACAATTGGTCCTTATATAGCTCGTCGCCCATCTGCTAGTTAGGTATTTGTGCTCCATGAATATCATCCAATTCTTGATCTGGATATTCCCAATTAACATTCGTGAAATGGCTAATTCCAGACCAAAATGGTACATTATCATTTCCTGCATAATAACATATCTAAAACCCCAATATTAGTGTAGTTTAATATGATATTAGATAATTTGTTATATGGCATTACGTACCTGCAACTGGAGGTCTTGCATTCCGACAATGCCTGGCGATGGAATTGGTTGACCAACTACAGTAGACGGACAACAATCAAAATCACCTTCGACATCTGTATTCGATGGCTCGCTATCCGGAACAAGACCTTCATCAAGCTCTTCCTCGGAACTATCCGTACGCCAAGATGGATCGTACATGTCGTGGGCCGGCAATATTTCATCAAAATTTGTTGAGTTGGTGGTGCAAGCGTGGGGGGCGCATCCTCATCTTCCTGATTAACCACTGGCACCATGTTTATGTCGATGATGTCAGTGGATGGTGGAGAAAGTTGACTAATTGATTGTCCACCGCAGTTGACTTCTGCATACAATTCAATAAATCTTGACTCCCCGTGTTCAAAAGTGCTTGCATCTACTACTAACGTTACATCTTCATCTTCGACAATTTCCACGCCAACCCATTGCACGGGGTTACCCGAGGCACATCTAGCGGTCAACCGAGCAAGAGTTTGACCACGTTGTAATCTTAACTTCTTGTATATTATCTTCTTCAGCTCGTGAAGATTGCATGTTAGGCTTATGCGAAACATTTTTGCATCACCTTCAAAAACTTGCCCGTTTGGACCAAAATATTCTCTCCCATTATAATAAACAGTAGCTATTAAATCATTCCTACCTTCACTCATCCTACAAAAGTAGAAAAAAACTCAAATTCAACAACAACACAAAAGTAGTAAAGCTTACATAAAAGGAAAATTTTCGCACTTGGAGGTTCATACTTGAAATGGAAGTATTTATAGTGCTTAATTCGCTATGTGGGGTAGCAAATTACTGTTTATAATTCGCTATGCCCCCTAGCGAATTACAAGGGAGATGACACTTGGCTCTAATGTGTCAGATACGTTGGTAATTCGCTATGAGTCACAACAAATATAGTCCCATAATTCGTTACATGGTACAACGAATTACATGGGGCTTTGACACGTGGCTTGACTTTGACTGGAGATGAACTGACCCATCTGACACATAATTCGCTACACAGGGTAGCGAATTCTGTGTCCAACAGGACTGTGCCACGTGTCCATCATGTTGACTGTGCAGTCTGACCATTTGTCCACGTATTTTGCTACAGTGTAGCAAATTATGTGGCCATTAGGGAGGTGACACATCAGCAGGCATAATTTGCTACACTGTGTAGCGAATTAGCCCGCGTGGCATTCTAGGAATTTTTACTGTGCGCGTGGCATTCTAGTAATTAATATGATGAACAGTGGCAAAATGGTCACTATTCCCCCTAAAGCCTAATTTCAACGTTTGCTATCACTTATATCTTTTTATATGATTTCAACAATTCAACACTTGAAACTATATAACTTGTGAGAAGTGAAATTTCCTTTTTCAATGTGTAATATCATTTATGTAAGAAAATGAAAATTGTCACCCATAGTGAGGTAATAGTGAAGGATTTGAATAAAGAAGAGTAGTTGTAAATGATATCTCGCTTTAAAATAATTTATCTATGTTCATTTAAGGGTCTCATTTCAATCCCATAAATAGAAAATGTAATCGTGAGAGGTTTGTCTTCGGCTTTCAAAGAAAATAAAATAGAGCTTAAGAGGCACAAGAAGTAAGAACTAGTGAATTGTAGACACATGTGAATTTAAAAAGAATGCTGCCTGGAATCAATTTCATCCTGCTTAAAGTTATACTAGCTGACATAAGTGAATTCTATGTAGGGCTGGCGGAGCTAGGAATTTTGGGTGAAAGGAGACGAAAATAAAAAATATTATATTATAAATAAAAATACTTGAAATATAATACATACCTAATATAAAAAACACTATTTTAATAACCATTAGAAAATCATAATCGAAGATCAGTATTCAGTTCTTTCCTCCTTCTTTTGTCTCTAGTATACTGCATTACTTGATTCGATAAACTCGATGCAAATCGCCAAACCTATTGGATTGATTGTGCTGTCTTAATTGTAAATGTGTATATGTGATTTATGCTTCTGGTCAATTTTTGAATAATATGCTAATTTGAGCGTTGGAGTTTTCCCTAAGCTTATTTTGCAGATGTGTGATTTATGCTCACTAAGACAATGTTAATTACTACACTTGAGTTTTGATCTTTCACTCAAGAAGTAAGGGCGTAAAAAAATTTAGTCATTTTTATGTTCAATTTTCTAATTATCTCATTATATACAATGTGTAGATATTATTATTTGCTTATTATAGCTTGTATCTTTTTTTATGAATGAATCAAGTCTCTTAACTAATTGGTGCTTTTGGAAGGGGGGACTGTGATATGCTATATTAGTAAAACAAAGAATATTAATTTTTTCCTCTTTGACTTTTACTCAAAAATGGAAAGAATCATCTATGAAGGCTGTCGATGGAGTTGAAATGATGGGAAAAAATTGTTAATCTAAGTCCACGATTATTTTGTTAATATAGACTGAATTTTATTTTAAAAATAAATAACAAAATATTGATTTGAATAAAGTTGGGTTACAGTAAGAAAATGTTATGGTAGAATGGAACCTCAAATATAGAGACGTGCAAAATAACCAAAAAATTAAACCGAATCAAACTGCACTTAAAATAATCAATTTTTAAAGAACATATTCATGAGTCGAACCGGTTTTTAAAGAACCAGTTCATGAACCATACCAATTTTTAAAATCAGTTAAAAAACTGAATCGTTTTCGAACCGAATCAAACCAAATCGTTTGCGAATCGAACCAAACTGATTTTTATTACCTTGTTTCTTTAATTTTTTTTTTTTTTAGAATAGGGTCGACTCGAACCGGTTTCGAAGCGAACCACCCAAATCGGTTTTGAACCGAGCCGAACCAGTTTTGAACCGAAATGAACCGTTTTCGAACCGAACCATTTAAACCAATTTGGTTCGATTTTTTCAAAAAATTCGATTCAATTCAATCCATGCATACCCCTACCCAAATATGTTGTTGTTTAATATAAAAATAATTAGTTATGTATATATACGTTGAGGCAGCACATTACAATATTGCATTAAAATATAATAAAAGATTATATCACTTGTATTTGTTGTGCTTATAGTCATTTGTGTTGTTACGGTAAACATTGTGATAATTTGCTTCCACAATTTTGGTTATTACGACTTAGCTAGAAAATTGAAGACATATTGCATCAATTATAAGTGTTAGTGCACTGATACAGTTATTTGTCTTTTGACAACATTAACAATTTTTTTTAAAATTTTAGGGGGGCGGGGGCCACCCCTAGCCCCATGTAGCTCCGCCCTTGATGTAGGATAAGCCTCTACAACCAACTCATAAAATTTTCAAGCATGTAAGCAACTAGGATTAAATCTAATGGTGAGGAAATTAAGTAGTTTGTATTAAGTTATGTGTTTAATTTCCATCATATAAAATAAAAATCCCAAGCATGTCAAGCTTTCCAGCCATAATTTAATTTAATATGATCACATATTTTAATGAGATACACTATTCTCATGTGCTATTCACACGTGACAACTAACCGCTTCTACCTGTTCAATTGATTAGCTTACACGTAGTTAGTTTTCTGTTTTGTTATATTTGTGACACGTAGGCTTGTTTCTAACTGACTATAAGTACATGTCTCTCATTGTAACTTATGCAGTTTTTTGCATTCTTAGTAATGAAACAAACACTTTTATTTTCTGTTTGTAAGATGGTATCAGAGCTCTTCACGGAGCTCTGATATTCGCCTTTCATTTTCTCATTTCAATTCACAAATAGTAGTTTCTTCTTCAAAGGTTCTTCAAGATCTGCAATCGACAATAGCTGGTACGAATGGCGAATCAGAGTTCCGAATTGTTTCATGAACATGCAACTGAAGTTTCAGATGCGAATCGAGCAAGTGAAAATTCTGCTCCTAATCGAGGTAATTCAAAAACCTCTGGTACTGTATTGGATCTTTCAGATCCAGGAAGTCCATATTACTTGCATGCGAACGAAAATCCTTCTTTAGTGTTAGTTTCTTCTCTCATGAATGGAAAGAAGTATCACGGTTGGGCAAGAGCCATGAAAATGGCGTTAATCTCCAAAAACAAGTTCTCGTTTGTGAATGGAGTCATAACTACTCCAGATATGTCAGATCCACACTATGGTGCTTAGGAAAGATGCAACACCATGGTGTTGTCATGGTTGCATCGTTCAATTACAGAATCGATCTCTCAATCCATCCATTGGATGGATCAGGCATTAGATGTCTGGAATGACCTGAAAGAGAGGTTTTCTCAGGGTGATATATTCAAGATTTCTGATCTCCAAGATGATATCTACCGATTACATCAAGGAGACAACACTGTATCTGATTACTATACGCAACTAAAGGTGCTATGGGATGAGTTGGAAACACTACAGCCAACTCCAAGTTGCAGATGCATACGTCCTTGCTGCAATGTGTCTTCAGAAGTGAAGAAGATTAGAGAAAGAGATTATTCCATTCGTTTTCTTAAGGGATTGAGTGATAAATTTTCACATGTGAGGTCTCAAATCATGCTGATAGACCCTTTGCCATCTGTTAATCGTGTATTCTCTCTTATTATGCAACAAGAGAGACAGTTACATTTAGAGGGACATCTTTTGACTCATGATAGTCCCAAAATCTTCTATAACACTGCAGATCAGTTCCAAGGACATTCTCAAATTCAAGGCAGAGGACGTTCTCAAATTCGTGGAAGAGGACGTAGTACAGGAAGAGGTAGATCAAACTCTTTCAGAATATGTACACATTGTGGTAGAACTGGCCATACAACTGAGACATGCTTTGAGAAGCATGGATACCCTCCTGGTTACAAACAGAGGAACTATGCACACAGAACCAATATGGCATTAGTTGGGGATCAAGATGAGACATCAGAATTTCCTGAAGTGAAGGATACTTTCACAAAGAACCAGTTCCAAACCATAATGGAGATGATACAACAAACAATGCATCAGAATCCTGCAACACAACATAATTCAAATCATGCTAGCAACATGGTGCAGTCCAAGGCACACAGTGCAGAAACCAATGATTCCTTATCAGGTAATTGTGATTTTCAGTGGATTTTAGATACTGGAGCTATAGATCATATCACACACACTCTCGAATTCTTGTCATCTATTCAAAAGATTGAACTCATATCAATTTCCTTGCCCAATGGAAGTCAGGTGTATACATCCATATCAAGAACAGTTGTGATTTCTGATTTTCTTCAACTAACAAATGTTTTGTTTGTTAAGGAATTCAAGGTGAACTTAATATGAATAAATCGGTTGATACACGATTCTAATTGTCAAGTGACTTTTCAGCAAAAGACATGTACTATACAGCAAACTCCAACCATGGTGGTGATTGGTTTTGCTAATCTTGAGGGAGGATTGTACATACTTAATCACAGGCACTTCAGGAAAAGATTTCCACATGATAGTGCAAAAGAAAACATATGGGATGCTGCTTGCAACACTAGTTCTACTATTACAGAAGATGATGTCTGGCATATGAGGCTAGGACATTGTTCAAAAGCTATACTAAAGGCAATGATACTTAGATTTCCTTTTATTACTTGTAATAAGTTGGATGAGCCATGTGAGGCCTGTCATCGAGCAAAACAAAGAAAGCTTCCTTTTAATCATAGCACTACAGTTTCAAGTGCAGCCTTTGATTTAGTTCATATGGACATATGGGGTCCTTATTCAATGCCTTCTATACATGGTAACAGATATCTTTTGACTATTGTGGATGATCACACACGGTTCACTTGGAAAATCCTTATGAAATCAAAGGGAGAAACCAGAAATCACATTCGAGATTTTGTGACACTTATAGAAAATCAGTTTGGAGTAGTTATAAAATCCCTTCGTAGTGACAATGGGCAGGAGTTTCTTATGGATGATTTCTTTAGATATAAAGGAATAATTCACCAAACCACTTGCATTGAGACCCCACAACAAAATGGGATAGTATAACGCAAGCATCAACACATACTCAACATAGCAAGAGCCCTTCTTTTTCAAAGTAATGTCCCAAAAGACTTATGGTGTTACTGCATTTCCCATGCCATCCACATAATGAATCGGCTTAGTTCACCAACACTGCAATTCAAATCACCCTATCAGCTACTGTTCAACAAGGCACCTGTTCTTATGCATTTAAGAACTGTTGGATGCCTAGCATATGCCACCACAATCACAGCTGGAAGATTGAAATTTGATCCACGGGCTATAAGGTGTATATATCTTGGACACAAAGATGGAATAAAAGGGTATATCCTCTATGACCTTATATCTAAACAAATTTTTCTTTCACGAAATGTAGTCTTTTATGAGCATAACTTCCCTTTCTCCAAAAGCCATCCAGAAACACATGAACAACCAACTCTCCCTTTTGCCACTGAATCATCTACTCAGTATGACACACCATCAAAACCTACAGAAACATTAGAGATCTTAACTACTCTGCCTTATCAATCAGATATTCCACTTAGTTCCATTGAACCTTGTATTCCCACATCAGTAGATAACCATACTGATATCAGCTCCAATGACCATACTAATACCAACCCCAATACCAATTCCAGTATAGACAATCCTAACCCACATAGGCACTCAACCCGAATCAAAACCAAACCAAAATATCTCACTGATTTCCACTGTAACCTCACTGAGACCAATTCCCTTTACCCTATTTCATCTACAGTGTCATATAATAGATGCTCTCATACATATTCTGCCTTCTGTCATAATATTAGCAGCTTTATTGAGCCACGCACATATAAGCAAGTTGTGCAGTCACCTGAATGGATTACAGCTATGAGTGAAGAGATTGATGCATTGAAGAGAAATCAAACCTAGTCTTTTGTTGATTTACCATCTGGTAAGCATCCTATTGGATCAAAATGGGTGTATAAAATAAAACACAATGCAGATGGCACTATTGCCCGATATAAGGCAAGGTTAGTAGCGAAGGGATATAGCCAGATAGAAGGTTTAGACTATTTTGAAACTTTTTCACCCTTTGCCAAACTCACTACCATCAGAGTCTTGTTAACAGTTGCAGCAGCCAACAATTGGTTTCTTGAACAACTTGACATTAACAATGCTTTCCTTCATGGAGAGTTACTTGAGGATGTTTATATGTCAGTACCCGAGGGTATCACATCTCCTCATCGAGGAAAAGTATGCAAACTTCATAAGTCACTCTATGGATTAAAGCAAGCAAGTAGATAGTGGAATGCCAAACTTACAACTGAATTGATAAAGATTAGCTATTCACAATCATCCAGTGATCATGCACTTTTTACCAAAACAACAGCTGATTCTTTTACTGTATTACTTGTTTATGTTGATGACATGATCCTTGCAGGTAATAACATAGATGAAATCAGATTCTGCAAGTCTCATCTAGATAATCTTTTCCACATCAAGGACCTTGGACCTTTGAAGTTTTTCCTTGGATTGGAAGTGGCATGTTCCACAAATAGGATAGTCTTGAACCAAAGAAAGTATGTTTTAGAAATGCTTGAGGAAACAGGTTTGCTTGGAGCAAAGCCTGTATCAACTCCAATTGAACCTACAGTTCGACTACATCAGAACCAAGGAGAAAAGTGTTCTGATCCTTCTTTATATCGTCGAATTGTGGGACGCCTTTTATATCTCACCAACACCAGACCAGATATCTCCTTTGCAGTACAACAACTAAGTCAGTCCGTGGCTTCTCCTACAAAAGCTCACCTTGATGCTTCTTACCGAGTCTTAAAATACCTCAAAGGGTCCTCAACCAAAGGTATTTTTTTCTCATCACAAAGCAATCTTCAATTATCAGGATTTGTTGATGCAGATTGGGCTACCTGCCCTGATACACGTAAATCCACAACTGGCTTTTGTGTCTTTCTTGGACCTTCCCTCATATCATGGAAATCAAAGAAACAAAGTACTGTTAGTCGATCTTCAGCAGAAGCAGAGTACAGGGCATTGGCTACATTATCGTGTGAAATACAATGGCTCACTTACTTGCTGCATGATCTACGAGTACCAATCTCTGTTCCAGCAATGATCTATTGTGACAACCGAGCAGCAGTTCATCTAGCTCACAATCCTTCCTTCCATGAACGGAGTAAGCACATAGAGCTTGATTGCCACATTACTCGCGAAAAGATCGTCCAAGGTTTAATACATCTACTTCCTATCTCTTCAGCTCAACAACTGGCATACATGTTTACTAAAGGGCTTCATCCGTCTCCTCTCAAGAATTTCATGTCCAAGTTGGGTCTTTTAGATATCCACTCCCAACTTGAAGGGGGTGATGAGATACACTATTCTCACGTGCTATTCACACGTGACAACTAACCGCTTCTACCTGTTCAATTGATTAGCTTACACGTAGTTAGTTTTCTGTTTTGTTATATTTGTGACACATAAGTTTGTTTCTAACTGACTATAAGTATGTGTCTCATTGTAACTTATGCAGTTTTTTGCATTCTCAGTAATGAAACAAACACTTTTATTTTCTGTTTGTAAGATATTTCCTAAAGCTGTCTAGCCCAAAAAAACTCCCTAAATTATTGAATATCCTCCAATGCTTTAACATAAAGAAAAAAAAAGTTAAACTCATCCATTTACAATTATAAATATTATTGGAGTCTTTGTTGTCGTAACACTATGCAAAATGAATGACTCTTAACACTAATCTGTAATTTTTTCTTAAAAAAGTAAGAGTGTTTCTAACATTTTTCGGACATATTGATTGTATAGGATGGCATCAGCTCCCAAAAAAGAAGTATATGATGGTGGATTTGGATTTTTTTAATGGAAAAATTGTTATATAATCATATTATTGGATCATAATTACTTATTTAAAAATCATATTTTTTTATCTTATTATTAATGAGTGATTGTGATCAAATAATATAATCACATGACTATTCTTTCACATAAAAGGATCCAAACGGGAACGATGATAGATTGCTTTCACGCAAGAAGAAACGGGATTGCCACAAAATTAGAAATACATTATGAGTAAGGATATTCTGACTATCAAAAATTCTCACTACTAACTTACAATCCATCACATCACCATTGGATCAAAGAGAAAAAATGTTAAAAATTTTTTGAAGAGAAAGAAAATGTTAATCTAATGGTGATTAGATAGATAGTAATTTGCTAGTAAAAAATTTTGGTAGTGAAAATATCTCTCCTCATACAATATATATATATAAATTTTATAAAGACAATGTAAATTTTAACCTCTCTTTTTTTGCATTTTTCTAATTTAATTAAAAAAAATCTAAGGCGAAGATTTTCCCTGGTTCTACTGCTCCGTGCGTACGTTGCTTTTGAAATCTAAACTTAGAACGACAAGAAAAAGAATCTGAAATGACCAAATAATAATAATATTATTTATCATTTTAAAATATATAATTTCATATTGTTTCAAGTAAAATTATTGTATTGTGGTGAATTTTTATCCTCTCTTTTTCACAATATTTTTTTTTTTCTCACTTCCCTTTGTGAGAGGAGAGAAGATAAAAAAAATCCTCAAAATACAAGAATTTCCCTTAAGATGACAATATTTTTCTCAATAATAATAATAATAATAATTATTATTATTACTATTATTATTATTAAGAAAATAGCTGTACAAACACTTTTTAATAATAATAATAATATTATTATTATTAAAATATAGCGTGCATCACGGAGCTGCTGCGAACAAAAAAAAAAAATAGCGCGTAAAAGTAAAAGCAAGTGGTGCGGTGTGGCGATAGGAGGAGTAAGGAAGAGAAGGGTTTTTCAGTTTAGTTATCGACGCCGAACAACACGATCCCCCATAATTCGGGCTGCATCATCCATTTGATTTCGGCAACATAACATACTTGACAGCGTTCCTATCCTCTTTTTTTCAAAAAAACTCAAAACTCAAAATTCCAATTTACCAAACCCAAAATTCCCTCCCTTCTTTACCCTTTTTCTCTCTTTCTTCGTGTGTGTGTGTGTGTGTGTGTGTGTGTATAGCATAACATCGAACATCGAAATTCGAATAGTTTAAGGAAAGTATTGATGGCTGGGTACAGAGCTGATGACGAGTACGATTACTTATTCAAGCTGGTTCTGATTGGTGATTCTGGGGTTGGCAAATCCAACTTGCTCTCGAGGTTCACCAGGAACGAGTTCAATTTGGAGTCCAAATCCACCATAGGGGTCGAATTCGCCACCAAGAGCTTGAGTATTGATGCCAAGGTCATCAAGGCTCAGATTTGGGACACTGCTGGCCAGGAAAGGTCTCCTTTTAATCTCACCTTCTTCTTTTTTAATATATCTAGTTTGAATTGTGATCGTGATTGTTTCTTACAACCCTTATTGCTTTCGGTACTATAAAGTGTGATCTTTTTCTTTTTTGTTAATATCAAGTCATATATGAAGATCTTTTTAAGTTTTGAATATCAGATGCCACTTCCATTGACAAAAAAAGAACATGAGTTTGGTTTGTGGTATCAGATTATTTCTTAGTTATTGCAAAGCAGTTGATAATTATTCATATTAACTTCAAGTTAATTGTATGCCAATTTAATTGGGCACTTCCATCAAGGAATTTCAGCTTTATTCTCACCGTTATCGCCCTTAATCCAGTTGCATGAAATCCACAATGAAGTAAAATTTTGGACTTGCTCGACCTAGGGGAATTGGCATCTAAATTCTGTTGATGAGGGTCTCATGTAAACCAATAAGGGTTTTCTTTCTGTACATTTTTTGGACTGCGTGTAGGTGTTTTGAGTTTAAAATTGATCTTAATTTCTCAATCACATGACATGATTTACAAACTATTGGAAAAGTGATACTTTCCCTTGTTATTTAATTAGTGGTTCTTAAGAAGTTTAAACTGGCACTTCTATGAGGTATTATTGTTTGCTTAGCTGCGATTGGGCCTTAAGGAGCTTTTATTTTAAAGTCATGGTGAAGATTGTTCCTGAATAGCATAGAATGCTATATAATTGTTTAGGATATCATGAAATTTCAATTTATGTTATAACTTTCCTTGCTTTTTGGTTTATTTTCTTGCAATTAGTGTTTCTAAACATCGTACACACATCTACATTCAACCATCAAGAACCTGAACATGTATGTCATTTGCTTGTGCACATGTCAAATGAATACTTACATAATATCAATATTTACAACATATTTCTTTCTTTGTACTACAGTCCAATTGGCTCTGAATATGCATGAGCTTCTTGCAAGTTGCAAACCTTAATTATCTCTTTTAATCTTTACTAATGCATGTAACCCCTGGCAAACTTATGCTTAGTAGTTAATACTCTATGGTGCTTATATGGTTAGGATGCTGCTGATTACTTGTATTCTACGACAACATTTATCTATATAGTAATTGCACATTTGCACTTGCTTGATATATGGAGGATAGAAGCAGGTCAAGAGCTGCTCAATCTAGTAGTTGCATTGACTCTCAGTAATTGATTGGCGGTTCATAATTTGAATTCCCTCTTCTGTACATTCAGTGATTGTAACGTAAAAAAGGACAGGGTGAAGAAAAATATAGTTAGCTGGTCGTCTGAGTGTGATGTTATTCTGCCACAATGACTGGATGATAGTCTGTTAGACCCCCGATTATTAAAGTTTACTCTATGGGTAATCTGACATTAATCATTATAGGTGATTAGTCCTTGAATTATGGTGATTGATTGTGTTGATCCAATCATTATTGGAAATTCTGTATTAATTATGGGTATCAATCACCTATAATGATTGATTCTGTAGCTATGGGTGATTGCTCTTGTATTTTGCGGGGAATCTGTTATAAATAGGATAGAAGCGGAAGTCATTAGGCAGACTATTGAGTGATTAGAAATTGGGAACTAGGAGAGACCAGGTGCCTCCGGAAAGCCTTGGAAGCTGGAACATTGTTTAGTTATCAATAATAAAATATAATATTTTGTTTTCGTTTTTATCTTTTCCTTTCCGATTGAATCTTGTTGTAGTTTTTCAAGGAAACATTGTTTTAAGCAATATATGTTCTGCTTAGTTTGTTATAATATTTTATGAATCATACTCTCTAATATTGGTAATTATAGTATGTAAGTCTTTGTTTTAACCGCATGTAAGTATTTTCAGCTTAAAAAATAATTTTAATATCTCATTGACGTAACAATTGTACACTGATACTTCTATGAGGTATTATTCTTTACATAGCTGAGACGAGCATTAAGGAGCTTCTAAATTGCATGAAGTTGCAATATAAGTTATGCCTTTTCACCTTTGGGAGTTTTCTCATAATATTTCGTTTTTAGCACTCACATACATACAACCATCAAGAACCTGAACAGTCCAATTGGCTCTAAATATACATCTGCACCATGCATACCTTATCCATACTAATCTATGTATCTATGGTGTATTTGATACCAACGCGGTGTTTTGCTGTTCATATGGCTAGGATAGTAAGTTGCAGCTGATTACATGTTTAACATGTATACGTTAATATTTATCTATATATAATTGTACCCCCCAAAAAAATAATTGTATGATACACTAGACTAGATATATGGAGGATAGAGGTAAGTATGGAGCTGCTCAGTCTAGTGGCATTGACTCCCATTAATTAATAGGAGGTTCCTAATTAATTTGAATCCCCCCTCCTCTACAATCAGTGATTATCACTTAAAAAAATGAAATGAAGAAAAACATAGTTAACTTGTTATATGGGTCTGATGATATTCTGTCACATCTACTCAGTGATAGTCTTTCAAGGAAACATTGTTTCAAGCAAAATATGCTCTGCGGAGGTTGTTCTAATTTTGAAAGCATATAACAATTTTTCTAATGGAATGTCTATGATCTTTATTGCTGTGCCGGCTACTACATCCACTCACTTGAATTGTGTGTTTCTGTAATAGGTACCGTGCCATTACTAGTGCTTACTACCGAGGAGCTGTTGGTGCCTTACTTGTTTATGATGTCACACGCCGTGCCACATTTGAGAATGCTGCACGGTGGTTGAAAGAGTTGAGAGATCACACAGACCCCAACATTGTGGTTATGCTTATTGGAAACAAGTCGGATCTTCGACACCTTGTTGCTGTCCCAACAGAAGATGGAAAATCTTTTGCAGAAAGGGAGTCTCTCTACTTCATGGAGACATCTGCTTTGGAAGCAACCAATGTTGAAAATGCATTCACTGAGGTTCTTACTCAGATATACCGCATAATGAGCAAGAAAGCAGTTGAGGCCGGCGACAATGGCAGTTCTTCTGTCCCGTCTAAAGGACAGACAATAAACGTGAAAGAGGATTCTTCAGTTTTGAAGAGATTTGGATGCTGCTCAAATTAAGATGCATCGTCTATGGCAAATTGGTTTTTAATAGCATATGTCAATCTTGTAAATGCCTACACGTGAATCATGATATCTTCTCGTAGAATAAGGCCAGGCTTACACAGTTGTTTTGGATAATGTTTACAAGCATCATCCATATGCAGGATTTATGTTTAGTTAAAGGGTCTTTCTAAAAACATTCAAAAAAATCGGTCTACCCAATTTCATATTTATAGGTGACAGATTTTATTTCCATGATTTTCATATTTGCTATGCTTAAATTCTGGTACAGCGAGAAATAGTTTGAATCTTAGTTCTAAAATTAAAAAATTGAGGAAACTGAATAGGTGAAAGTGAGAGCATGTGTTCGATTCTTCATAGTACTGTCTCTGTCTCTGGGAGAGGTTTAAAGTCTTAATCTCGAAATCTGTCCTGAATCGAACTAATCGCGAAGTGATGAACCGATTGAAATATTTTTAAAAATTAAAAGATTGAAGTCATAGTCTTTACTTTTTTTTTTAAATGATTGCCCTTGATCCCCTCCTAACATTGAATAAAGTTAATATTAATGTTCTATCTTGTTCAGATCACATGGAATCATTCTACACGGTGACAAATTTATAAATAGGAATTTTCATATATAATTTTTCCTTCAGATTTATATTAAATATTGTGTGGAAATTTCATTGGTATTTTTATCCAACTTCTTACTTTGAATTATATTTTAGTTGTATCACACCATCATGGATAAGATCCTAATTTGTTCTTGAGAGAATCTCAGAACAATGATGGCAGATTTTCACTAACGCGGTGCATGAATGTACGAAAGGGGAAAAAATAGACGGATCAATTCTGCAGGCACCGAGATTATTTTTTGTGAACCCGAACTACCATTTTTTAGGTGATTTCTTAGGGGCCGTTTGGTACACGGCATTTGGTAAGATTTTCAGGAAATTGAATTTTTCTAAATTTTAAATTTGTGGATATTATTGTAAACTGAATGTAAAAATCATATTTTTGAAAATCGAGATTTCCGGCTAAATAAAATTTTTCCTTTATCAAACACCCTTAGTGTAAATAAGAGGATAAAATTGAAAAAGAAAAAAAATAACAAGGATAAAAAGAAAAAGAAAAAATTAATGATGTGAGAGAAAACACCAAAAAATTCAGTGATCCTGAACCATATTAAATATTTCTGCAGGTAGCCTGCTAATAATTAATTACTTATTCAAATGTACAAAGCAAGAAAAAAAAATTCCATGAATTGTAAAATAATTTATTTAATTATTTCTTTATATTCCTAAGTTTTTTAATAGCTCATGATTTTCACGCCGTGAATATTATATCACTGTGCAACGCTGGACAAAAGAAAAAGATCCAGCTGTGTTATCCTGTGACGCCTCCGCACTGAATCGCGCTAGCGCTTGGAATATTCCTCCGCCGGAAAACCGCCAAACACTCCGGCAGCTCGCCGAGATCGGCGAACAGCGACTCGTCCTCCTCCCTCATCGTCATCGTCACATCGTCCACCTCCCCGCAGATCGGGCTTTCCAGAACGCCGCCGGTGGAGGCCACGTCATCGAACCATCCGAACTCGGCGTGGTGGTGATGGCTGAGCAGAACAGCAGAGTCGCCGCCGAGATCGAGATCGGGGTGGGTCGCGAACACCGTCAGATCCTCCGCTGGGAAAGTGGAGGCGGATCCGGTGGGCGGCGATGATCCAGCGCCGTCGCCTGCGGCGGCGGAGGAGGAGGAGGAATGGGATTTGGGAAGAGGGAGGGAGTGGTTGTGTTCGTAGGCGTAGGTGACAATAAGTTTTGTGGGGTCCACGCGGCTTCTCTCAACTTGCTTCCTCGCGGGACACCCCTTTGAACTGCTGCATCGGTAGTATCCCCTGCATTTCCATATTCAAATTAATTATTTAATTAATTAAAAATTGTACAAAAAAAGAAAAGAAAAATTGGCAGTGGACATTGTCAAAGAAACAAGAGTGATGTTGATTGGAATAAAAAATCCAAAACGAGGGAAAATAGCACTTTCATGGATTTTGCCATATCATTAGCGCGTGTTTCTCAATCACAAATCTATAATTGAAGGCTACCTTTATTTATTTATTTTGTCTAAGTTTTTTTTTTTCATTTTATATATATTTGATAATTAAACACATACTATAATACAATCTACTCAAATTCCTTATCAGTAAACCGAAGCTAGAGACTTATTTTGTCTAAGTTAATCATTGTGTAAATGCAAAAATAATAACATTAACTTCAAATTTGAAACCCGAATACTACTTTAAAAGTTCAATATTACAAAGGGATATAATCTTTCAAGTTGTATGAGATAATTTTGTCTTATTAATACACAAAAAAGTGGATGAGATTCACTTTTTTTTTTCTTTCTCATCTCCTTTATTGTTCTCAATACTTTTGTGTGTATTATATTGAACAATTGAGATACTATATGCCTATATTATAAACACTTGACTCAACTTAACTCCATTAATGAAGAAGTTATCAAGAAAATGAGTGTAAAAGCACTCAGATGAGTTTTGTGTACATATTTAATTTTTGTGAAGGTAGTATGCATTGCATAAGTATTAAAAATTTGTTCCTTTTTTCAATACATTTATATGCAGCAATTGTGATGAGTAAACAAAAATAAATAGTTAAACATCAGTTGATTCAAAATTGATATTTTGTTGCCAACTATATATACTGATTTTTAGTTAGTTGCAAGGTTATTCTATCTTGATTGATAATGCAGTTGACACAATTATACATACAATTGTCTGTATTGGTAAACGAAATGTTGCATGAAAAACACAATATATGTACAATTACATATGCTCTTATTCTTACAACAGTATATATACCGTGTTTGAATTTGTTTGTTTTCGGATAAAAAAAAAAAAGTTTAATCAAAATTTCATAGGTTGGGAGAAACTGGGGGAAAAAATGTTTTGTTTGAGAAACAAAAAGATCAAACTTAGATAATGACGTCTTCCGGTTCGAGATTTTTATATTTCTAATTATTATAGCGTGACGGCAACGCGGTTTAGACCTCGCGTGTACAATCACAACAACCTCAGTTCCTAACTACCCCCACAATCCACATGCGCATTTTAGCACAGCCGCCTTCAACCGGTTTTTCTACGCCGCCGCCGGCAGCGGCCATGATCCCCCATCATTCCGCGGCGCATTTCCAGTTCTAGCAAACGCCGTTTTATTTGATTAACTTCTAAATATGGTTCCTATTTACTTTCCATATCTTGATGCCTTAAACTTAAGCTAACATATGACTTAATTATTTAGCTTAAACATGATAATTAGGAAAAGCAATTGAGATAAACATTTGGTGGTGCCTTATAGTATTGTACCTGGGATAAGGGGAACCTTTGATGGGCTTCTGTCCGTACTTCCTCCAGGCCCATGAATCAGACGGTGGATATGTCTCTCCTTTGCTCTTAGATCCATCCACGTCACCGATCGGTATAGTTACCACCCTCTTCTTAATCTCCCTCCTACGTATAAATAGTATCATGAACATGAACCACTTCAACGGTTAACTTCCCAATTCACACCAAAAAAATAAAAAAATAATAAAAAACATAAAAATAGAGAGAAAAGAAAGAAAAAGCTGAAACCTTTTCTTGGGGGATGGTGCTTCAGTTTTTGTGTCTTCACCGGAAGAAGGAGAAGCAGGCCCAGCTTCTAAGGCGGGCTCGGGCTCGGGCTCATCTGGGTCAGCGGCATATAATGGTTGGGTCTTGAATCTACGGTGGTACATGATGATGAGTTCGGTGGTTTGATAACTTGACGATATGTGTCAAAATGAGTAGTTGGTGCTAGAAGTGATGATTGGGAAAGTGGGCTCGCCGGAAAATGAAGTGGAGGGTGGCCGGAAGGGTGGTGGTGATGAGGGAAAGAGGGTGAGAGGGTGAGAGACTGAGAGTGAGACAGAAGAAGGGGTTGGGGTTTGTGTTTAATATGAGCCGCCATGGTGACAGATTGGCAGCAGTTTTGTTTATTGTGGACGTGCGAGCAAATACCCATTTAATAAACATTACATGGAAGGGATTTATTTGATGGAGTAAGGTTCATGATAAACAAGGTTATGGGTTCATTCATTGGTTGGTCTGTCAATTGTCATGACTTTTTATGTGTCTTTGTATATGTATAATGTATGATTAGGGTTAGTAAAACATGTAGGGCTGCAATATTGTCATATTTTCAAGTTGTGTAGTTTGTGTTTGGTGGTAGAACATCCAAATTGAGAGAACAATTAGCGCTACGACAATACCAAAACATGTACGTGCGTTTTTGAGTTTCTGGGAATTATTGGTTGGTACTTGGTAGACTTCAAAGTTTATCGGTTTTGCTATTAAAATTAAGAAGAAGAATATCTTCCGAGATTTTTCAGTGACAAGGACAATGGAAAAAAAGTATCTAATGTTACTTTAGATAGTTTTGTCTAATGTTCGTCGAAACGACGTCGTTTTGAGTTGAAAATTTAAAAAATTAAGATGATAAAGACTATTATAACCCTGAAATAAATTAAAATTACAAATACGCCATGATTTCCGCCCCAAAACGATGTCGTTTCGGCGAACATTAGATAAAGTTGTCTAAAGTAACTTTAGAAAAAACGAACCCTAATACTAATAACGTCGGCTTGATTATGAGATTTTCCAGAAAAAAAATGGACTCGCTTTTCCCATTTTATATATTTAATTAATAGAAAAAATGTTTGTCATTTTAAATAACACAACTTTGTGTTATTTTTAATGAAGCTACGTTGTTTTAGTGTGTTTTTGCATTTCCTCTCCTCCACTTTCATTTTTTTCTTAATTTTGTAATAAAAATGTAAAAAATATATATAAAAAATACACCAAAACGACATAGTTTAATTAAAAATGACACAAAGTTATGTCATTTAAAATGATAATGTTAGGAAATTATATTTCCTAATGTGTTTATGGGTAAAATATTGTATTAATAGTTATATTATGCTATTTAATATATATTGGGTAAGTTAAAGTGATCTAATAAAGATGTCCAAATATATTTCTAAGTAAGTGTAAGAAAAATGAGAGGATATCAGTATTGAGTCAACTAGGTATAATGAGAGCTTACTGACCCAACAATAAAGAAAAATACTATAAAAGATTATGGTCCCCCAAAATGTCAAATAATAAAACAACCATGTTTTCTCTTCATCGTAAGAGAGAGACAACACACTAAAGAATAAGGATTAGGGCTATTTGATTGAGGAATATCACATACCCCAAATGAGAAGATCATACTAAAAAATAAGGATTTAGACTATTTGATCAAGGAAGATCGCATACCCAAAAAAGAAGATCAAAGTTATTTCGCTGCTACGGAGACAAGTATGTCTCCACCTTTCTATTAATATTCCTTTATGATTTGATGTGATGAGTCTTAGTTTGTTGGTGATGGTTATCACCATAAGGTTAAGAGGAATTAATATTCTAACAATAAGTATCAAAGTCGTCATCATATTGAATCATGAGGGAAATTAATTTTTGTGATTTTTACATACGAGACTACGGACGCTGTCATCGTATTCCTTTTTAATGTTCTGGAGGCATTTAGGGGCTCGATAGTTGAGACTACTGATGCCAAGTTGGTTTTAAAGGAACTCGAGCAATACTTTACTCGAAATGAAAATGCTAAAATTGGTCAAACCTTGTCTAAACTCATTAATATGAGGTATAATGGAAAAGAAAACATAAGGGAGTATATTATGAAAATGTCTAACCTTGCTGGAAAATAAAGGCATTAAAGTTAAAACTGTCATCTGAGTTGCTCATGTACTTAGTTATTATCTCTCTTTCTGTACAATACGGTCAATTTGTAATGAGTTAAAAGACCTAAAAGGACAAATTGACTCTTAAAGAGCTCGTTGCTCGTAGTGTGCAAGAGGAAGAAAGGCTTCAATAAGAAAAGACTAATAGTGCTCACTTGACATCAGCCCCTCTCTGAATAAGAGAAAGAAGAGAGCTAAGGATATTGCTGATGAATCACTCATGCTAAAGAAGCAAAAGAAACAGGATAAGGTATTTACCTGCTATTTTTGCGCAAAGAATAAGGCTCTTAAAGATATGGTGAGAAGTATAATTAGTCACTCTTCTTTACTTGAGTCACTTTGGGGAGAAGCACTAAAGACTGCAGTTTATTTCCTTAATAGGGTTCTAACTAATATAGTGACCAAAATCCCCTATGAGCTATAAAGAAACTTAGCATAAGACATTTACACATTTGGGGCTGTCCGACTGAAGCAAGGCATTATAAGCCAAATGAAAGAAAGTTAGACTCAAGAACAATCAGTGGATATGTTGAACGCTATCGGGACTTTAAGTTTTATAATCCCACTATAAGATATATATTTTTTAGACAAAAAATGCCAAACTCCTTGAGGATGTTGAGTTGGGGGGAAGATAAAGTAAGGAATATTCTCTTTGATAAGGAAGAAAGTTATATTTCTCTTCCTAATATTGTTATCATTCAAGATACAATTTCGGTACAAACAATTAATGATCAGGTCTTTGTTAATGACATGTTTATGGAATAGGATTCAGTCCCTGACATTGCTTTGGGTCAAGACAACAATGAACCACCTCCTATGCCATATAAAGAACAAACTCAACAAAATCAAGAAGTTTTATTAAGAAGATCCACTAGAGAAATGACAAACACAATTCCAGATGATTATATTATATTTCTTCAAGGCAGGAAAATATTTTAGGCTTGAAAGAAGATGATTCGATCAACTTCCAACAAGCCTTAGAAAACTCTGATGCTCATAAATAGATTGATGCCATGAAAGATGAGATGAAAATCTATGAAAGATAATTACGTTTGGAATCTTTTTGAGTTACCTAAAGGTGAAAAACCCATTGGTTGTACATGGATATTTAAAACCAAAAAGGATTCCAAGGGAAACATCGAAAGATATAAGGCACGTCTAGTTGCTAGAGGTTTCACTCAGAAGGAAGACATAGACTATAAAGAGACCTTCTCTCTGGTTTCTACGAAGGATTTTTGTAGGACATAATGACACTTGTGGCTTATTTGGATTTAGAGCTACATCATATGGATGTAGAGATGACAAAACACGTCCGGCCCGCCCCGCTCGCCAAACGGGGCAGGACAGGCTGAGTTTTTCAAACCTGCCGCCCGTTAAGCCCGCCCTGCCAAGCCCACCCAGGCTGCATTTTTAATTTTTATTTTTTTTAGTGTGAAATGTCACGAGCTTGGCGGGCAACCCGCCTCGCCCGCCCAAACGAGGAGGGGCGGGCTGAGTTTTCTTGCACTTTCAAAGGCGGGGCAGCCCATTTTCCGGTGGGCTTTTGGCAAGGCAGGGCGGGCAGCCCGCTTTGCCATTTGTAGATGGATGTAAAATTTTTTTTTCTCAATGGTAACTTTGATGAGACCATTTATATGATGCAACTAGAAAACTTTGTATTTGTAGATTCAAAGTCTGTGGTTTGCAAATTAAAGAAGTCCATCTATGGCCTTAAGCAAGCTTCTCGTCAATGAAATCATAAATTTCATCAAATTATCATCTCTTATGGCTTTGAGGTGAATTAGGTGGAAGATTATGTGTACCACAAATTCAGTGGGAGTAAATTTATATTCCTGATACTATATGTTGATGATATATCACTTGCCAACAATGATATAGGCTTATTGCATCAAACCAAGTAATTTTTCACTAAAATTTTTAAGATGAAAGATCTTGGCGATGCATCTTTTGTCTTAGATTCAAGATCGCTCTCAAGGTATCCTATGGTTATCATAAAATTCCTATATTGAAAATATTTTAGATAGATTTGGCATGAAATATTGTACATCTGGAGACACGCCCATATCTAAAGGAGACAAGTTTAGTCTCGGTCAATGCCCTAAAGGTAAACTTGAGATGGTAAAAATGACAAAGGTATCTTATGCTTCGGCAGTAAGAAGTCTTATGTATGCTCAGGTCTGTACTTGCCCTGATATAACATTTATAGTGGGAGTAATAGGCAAATACTTGAGCAATCTAGGAGTGGGTCATTGGAAAGCAGCCAAGAGGGTTATGCAGTATTTAAAGAGAACAAAAGTTTACATGCTCACATATCGAAGGTAAGATGAATTAGAGATCATCGGGTATACTAACTTTGATTTTGCTTGATGGCAAGATAGTAAAAGATCCATATTAGGTTATGTCTACGTGTTAGGTAGAGGAGCTATTTCTTAGAAAAGTGCTAAGTAGACACTTGTAGCTTCCTCTACTATGGCAGTTGAATTTATAGCTTGTTTTAAGGTGGAATTCCAACCATGGAGAATTGCTGCGAAATTTTATCACAGGGCTGCGTATAGTAAGTGGTGTTGAAAAGCCACTAAATATTTATTGTGACAATAAGTCAGAGGTGTTGTACTCCAATAATAACAGAAGCTCTTCAAAATCGAAGCACATAAAGTTTCTGGTTATTAAAGAAAGAGTTCAGAGTGGTCAGATTTCCATAGAACACATAAGGACAAACTCTATGCTTACAGAATCGCTTACTAAAGGCTTAGTGCCTAAGGCCTTTCACGAGCATACTGCTCATATGGGTGTTGTTTTGTTTGATGACACTATGGTTTAGTGGGAGTTCTTTATGTTGGTGTTCTATGTAAAATTATTTATATTTTTGTTTTCTATAGAATAAAGATTTTGATATTATTTTTCCCTCTGAATGTGTAGATTTTGTGCTTATGTTTCTGCTTTGTGTATGCAAAAAATTAAGAATTGATCTCATAAGAACTAAAGTAGGACCAGTTGGAAATAGGCATGGTAGATATCATATTGCAAGTAATTTCCATGCCACTCATCCATACTTGATTTATGTCATTGAATATATTGGTGTGATGACCATGGAAGGTTTAGTTACACTTGACAATGACAAAAGCCGCCATGAT